TTAAGATTATAACAACTTTGTCTTTTAACAAAATTTCTTTGGATATTTAATGGTAATGTGTTATTTTGAGCCCTATACATAACTGATAAAATACTATAATCTACCAAATCATGGAACTTCAATAACTTCAGTTGATAAAATAATGTGCTTGATGGGTGACTGTAATGCTTTCTGGTGATGATTCTTACAGCTCTTTTCTGTAAAATAAAAATAGGTTTTGTAAATGTTTTACACGCTTTCCCCCAAACATCAATGCAATAGATTAAATGTGAAACAATAATTGTGTTATACAACATGTACAGAGCTTTATCATTTAATAATACCCTGACTTTGTATAGTACTGCAATATATTTAGATATTTTTGTTCTTACAAAATTTATGTGATTTTTCCATGTTAGCTATTCATCAATGATTATACCCAAAAATGTCATCTCATTAACTCTACAAATCTCAACACCCTCAATTTTAAATGGATCGTCAACAGGTTTCTTTTTGTTACTAAATATCATGTATTTAGTTTTATCTAAATTTAATGATAATTTATTAAGTTTAAACCAAGTTTGTATTTTATCAAATTCTGTCTTCATCAATTCCAACATCCGTTTTACATCTTTACCCAAACAAAAAAATGTGGTGTCATCTGCAAAAAGGACACATTTGAGGAGTCCTGATACATTCACTAAGTCATTCACATATAAAATAAATAACTTTGGTCCAAGTACAGAGCCTTGAGGAACTCCACAAGTGATATTGCACAGGTCAGATCTTACATCATTTATTTGTACAAACTGTTTCCTATCTTTTAAATAGCTAGATACCCAGTGTAATGCTGGTCCTCTTATACCATATTTATTTAATTTTTCAAGGAGAATAGTGTGGTCAATAGTATCGAATACTTTTTTTAAATCAACAAAAATACTAACACAATATTGTTTTTGATCAACAGCAGTAGTTATTTGTTCTATTATTTCCATGAGAGCCATTGATGTAGAGTTTTTTGCTCTAAACCCATACTGACTGCTACTTAGAATGTTTTGTTTAGTAATAAATTTATCTAATCTGGTCACAAATAGTTTTTCTAGAATTTTTGAGAACTGTGGTAATAAGGATATTGGTCTATAATTATTGAACACACATTTATCACCATTTTTAAAGAGAGGAACTACCTTAGCTACTTTCATATTGTCTGGAAATATTCCTTTTGAAAATGATAAATTGCAAATATATGTAAACGGCTCGATAACATAACTCATTATGTCCTTTACAAACATCATATCCATGTCCACCCAGTCTTTTGATCTCTTATCTGTAAGATTTTTTACTACATTCATTATTTCTTCTTTGTCAGTTCCATTAAGAAAAATACTGTTGTCACAACTTATAACTGAATGGTTCACATTATTGTCTACTTTTGGTATTTTAGCTGCAAGGCTTGATCCAACGTTCACAAAATGATGATTGAATCCATTTACAATTTCATTTTCATCATGGATTTCATTGTCATCCATCAAAAAATTTTGTGAAATACCTGTTTTTGCTTTATGACATTTCAGAACACTATTTATTACTCACCATGTTGCTTTCATATCACCATTACTTTTATTTAATAAATCACTATAATATTCCTTCTTGTGTTTCCTTATAATCGCTACTAATTTATTTTTATACTTCTTATATTTCTCTTCGGCCTCTTGTGTTCTCAATTTCAAGAAACATGTATACAAATAATTCTTTTTTTACAAGCATTTCTCAACCCTTTCGTCATCCATGGTTGGTCAACAACATTTCTCTTTGTATAATTATTTTGCACACAATTCTTTTCATACAGAGCTCCTAAAATATTCATAAACTCATCATATGATCTGTTCACATCATCAACATACACGTCTTTCCAGCTTTGTTTATGTAAATCATCTTTTAATTTGTCCAATGCTTTTTTGGATGTGTTTAATGTTTTTTTCTTAATTGTAATTTCTTTTGTAATGCTTTGATCATTTTTATAAATCATGAAAACTGGTAAGTGATCACTCAAATCACTCATTAAAATACCTCCCATCACATCCCCATTTGTTACATTTGTGAAAATAATATCGATTATTGTAGCACTATGAGTTGTAATTCTTGTTGGTTTTGATATTAACAGATAAAGATTTAAACTATACAATGAATTTGTAAATGTACCGATGTTATTGTGGGCAAATGTGGGCCAGTGTTGTGCCAAAAATCGATTGGCTGCCAAATGGCACCCGCGGGAGCGTGCACGTGAGGACTTTAACAAGAATTTAACAAGATTAACACTTAAAAACAATTATTTGTTTGCACAAAATTATAGTAAATGTGTGTCTCAGTCTAACTTTTCCTTAATAAATGCACTTTAATGGTCAAATCAGCTGCATTTCACCTGGGCAGTGCAGCAAAATGCAGCTGATTTGATGTTTGCTCCAGTATTTCCAGAGTGAGATCAAGGTGGCTTGGTATGGCAGGCCAAGTGTCTCGTTAATAATCACTTTTAACAATTAATGAGACACTTGGCTTGCCTTATTAGTCGAGGGTCCTCTAGCAGCTGAAAATGGTAGTGTTCAATATTTTCCATGTCAGAATGAATGAAAGGGTCAGATCTCAGCCAAAAATTGGTTATAAATATGGGGACAAACAAAACAAAACCATAAATAAGTTGCTTCGCTGTATAATTTCAGGATATGCAAATTATACAGCAAAGCGACTTATACAGCAAAAAATACGGTAGATATTTATTTAAACATTTGGGCACATTTCTGCTCTATTCAGCTTTTTCTACACATTTTGGCTGTTTCTACTGCTTTCTGCTTTTATTTTCCTGCTTTCAGCAAATGTCAGCTGTTTAAATTCAGCTCACAGTTTATCACTGAAAACTTTTCAGCTGCTTTCAGCAATAAGAATTCATGTATTTTGTCAGGAAATGACTTTTGTCTAGTTGCAGAATGTTAGTAGAAGACAGCTCATGCTGGGTAAACACAAGACAACAAAGATAATGAGGACTTTTTCTTTTTTCCTGTGTCTGAGCAGCGAGTCACTCAGACGACGGTTCAGATGTGGAGTCCGAGCCCGATCTGCCGCTGAAGAGAAAGCAGCGGCGCAGTCGGACCACGTTCACCGCGGAACAGCTGGAGGAGCTGGAGAGGGCCTTCGAGAGAACGCACTACCCCGACATCTACACCAGGGAGGAACTGGCTCAGAGGGCCAAGCTCACCGAAGCACGAGTGCAGGTACGGGCAGCCACACCATCATGTTCCACTGAAACACAGATTAGACGGGTTCATATTAAAAACAGGTTTTAAATAAAGAACCTGGTTTTACAGGAAAAACACTGAAAACCTGCTGAGAAATATGACCTGGATGAACACGTGTGTCATTGCAGCTTTATTTACTTTGTCAGCTTTTAAAGCAACCTGCTCATCTCTGTTTGCTGCAAGCAACGCACGCACGCACACACGCACGCACGCACACACACACGCACGCACGCACGCACACACACACACAATATCTGGTCTTGTGCTCCCAGGGGCCCTTTATGGACATTTGTATTTGTGGTATAGAGCCCATCAAATTCTCCTTCCCAGGCTCCACATGGGGAGTGTAAACAGACCCCGCATGAGCCATGTTCACATGGACGCTGCATGTCACTCAGTGCAACCAGCCATGACACACACACACACGCGCACACACACACACACACACTTTTTCTCGTTACTTTTACCTTCTCACCAGACGTTACTCAGTCTCCTACTGTTCAAAAACATATTTCCTGTTTTATTATTACAGTAATTACAGTAACTTTAAGATTTATTGTTTTCTCTCGTTACGGCGGCCAAAACACTCAAATTTTAGAAACTTGAATGTTTTTATTTCATCCTTTTCCAGGTGTGGTTCAGCAACAGGCGAGCGAGGTGGAGGAAGCAAGCTGGAGCTAATCAACTGATGGCGTTCAATCACCTGATCCCCGGAGGATTCCCCCCCACGGCCATGTCCAGCATCCCCCCCTACCAGCTCTCTGACTCCACTTACCCCCCCTCATCTTTAGCGCAAGGTATGATCGAGCTCATGAGCAGCTGTCATCAGCTGCCAACCTCTCTGATTAAAGTCGAGTACGGCTAAACTGCAAAATAATCAACACCGTAAATAAATAAAAGAAAACATTTTCTTGTTGCCTTTTATTTGTGAATTATTATTTTTTGTGAAAATATTTTGTATAGCAACAATTTGCTACAGATTTAAACTAAACTCCAACATTTTATCAAACAATATTTCTATTTAAGATCCAAAATGTGTTCCTTCAGTCATTTAGACTGTTTTGAATTGGAACCTTTCACTGATTTAGTTTTGTTTTTGGTGAAGTGAAAGGTAAAGTACAAGACAACAGCGTCTTTTGGTGTCGACTGCACCATCAGCAACGTTTCAGTGTGTCAGTTTTGTGATAAACTCACAAAATAAGACTGAAAGATAAACTCGTGAACGTGGTCCTGCTGCCCAGCCCAACAAACATCACACACAAATGCACCAGCAGGCGTGATGAGTCCGACACATCCAGACAGCAGCTGAGATTAAACTTTGTATTTTTAATATCCTCTCAGCTCCGTGCAGACAGCTGGCTCAGCTCGGGGCCAGTTTCTGCTCTCAGAACAATTCTTCAGGTGGCTCCTTAATGGGCTGTGATTGTCAGAGACGCAAAATGGAAACAACAACAGAAATTGTTGTACTGTCACAGAGTGAGAGCGATTTAGTGAGTAGCAAGCCACATGGCCACATTCTGGAAAATCACGGTCTGTTCTTGTGTGCACGGTTTGTAGAAATGTAATCTTGTTTGTGCATATTATTTTGTTGTCCATCACAGGGACACATAGAGACAAATGAGACAAACAACCATTCACTCTCTCACTCACACTTAGAGACAATTTAGAGTTACCAGTCAGTCTAACATGCATGTGTTTGGTCTGTGGGAGGAAACTGGAGTACCTGGAGAAAACCCACACATGCACGGAGAGAACATGCAAACTCCACCCAGAAGGGTCCCCAGCTGGGATTTGAACTGGCGACCTTCTCGCTAAGAAGCGGCAGATCTACCAACTGTGCCACCGTGCCGCCCAGATTTGAATCTGTCTTTCTAATTATTATTATTATTTTTCTAATTTAATTTTAGACCTGGACATTTGGGTTGGACCTGCCCTGAACAAAATTCAGGTTGCTTTGAGACGAGTTAGGGGTTCTTTCCATGACTCTGTGACTATTTTGAGGGAATTTGTTGCACACTTTTTTTGAACATGCTCAGAACTGAAGCAACAGGACTGCATGCCTTCTGCAGCTCACAGAAACTGAGAACCGCTCCGTGAGTCACAAGACATTCTGGAGCCTCCCTCATGAATGCTCTTCAGCAACTAGCTGCAACCCAGTGAGATATTACCCTTAAAAGGTTCTCCAACTAGTTGGAACATTAGCCCTTAATTGATAAACCATTACTTAAAATATGAAAACCACACTGACAAATACTGTAGGTAGTTTTTAAAATATTTTACGAATTATTGACATATTGATGTCACCATTTTATTTATGCTGCGATGCATTCAAAGTAAATCATGTGGACACATTGCTTTGATGCAAGTTTCGTTCAACTTAAAGGTTTAATTTTGGACATTATCTGATGTTTAACCCTTCAATTTTAACCGGAGTGTGTTGACAGACAAGAGAATGA